GAATTTCCACGTGTAAATACATGTCTGGGCACTCTTTTAAGCATAGAGTTTCTATGTGTCAGACACCAATTGACTGAAACAGCTGTGTTGTGGCGGAAGGATGGGGGAGCTAGGAGTTTGAAATAAAAGGGTATTGTGAAATATTGGAGACTCAGCAACAGGAGATACAGAATTATGGGAAAATATGAGCGCAGATTACAGGACTATAAAACAGAGACCCCACTTTAGAATGGATCAGAAGAGCCTTTTAGATCCCAAATGCTTTGATATCTCCCTTTTCTCTCACCCCCACCCCCCCTCTCTCTCTTGCCGTAAGGTCTGTTAGCAGCTCACTTGGGTGTTTGTTTTGCAGATATTTGAAGTTAGCAATTTTAATGTTATTAAAGAGCTCATTGGGATACCAGCTCTTTAATGCGATAAAAATAAAGAACTGATTTTAGTGTTTTGCAGTAAAATTGGATGTTTTTTTGTCCCGATTGAAGACTATGCAGAACAGGCAGTATAAACCCAGTGGGTTTCCCTAAACTGTTGACGTCAGAGAAAGCTTTTGCTCTATCACCCGTAAACTGTGGTAGTGTTTTATGTTCAGAGTTACGCATTTAAAAAAGTTGTTTACATTGAAAATACCTCCTCAACAACAAACAGCTAGTGAAAAACCACAAAGAGCTGATCCCAAGTGGCTACCATCACACAACTGAATCTTTGCACTCAGTAAAGTCTGTACTTTGTACACGTAAAGGCAAGCCACGTGGACAATTTCATTACTACTCAATACCTCTCTTGCCTCAATACACTCCACCTCTGAAATCCCGAACTGCTTCCTGCCACCCAAAAGTCTCCCTGGTACAATAGTCACTTCAGCTTTCTAAAATCCAAAGCCCATGCGTCAGAGCGCTCGTAACGTAAATCTGGCCTCATGGTCGAGTGTCAGATCTGTCCAGCCCAAAACTTACCATTGTTCCCTTTCCTCCCCAACAACAGTCCCAGGCTCCATTTCTCCACCTCCTCCAAAGTTAACCAGCTCCATCCCCTCTTCTCTCTCCTCCCATCTCCCACGTGACACCCGTTACCCGTTCCATTGACCCTGTTCCCTCACAGATCCCGTCCACCCAGTTCTTTTTGTGTTATTTTGTTTATCGTCTCTATAATGTATAAAACGATATGTCAGTTCAGCATTTAATCCATCACATGTGGATTGTTCAGCTTTTGTGTTCCTGTTTAAGGGAAGCTAACTTTCTGATCTATCTCGATCAGTAACGTGAGTCAGGTTATTGAACTGAAATTCAATATGAAGCTGAAGTACACTTGAAGGGTGAGTTTATCATGCAATCTTTGCACCAAAAACCGCTCAGTAGATAAATATATAATTCAGCCTGTGGAATTTGTAAAGCACAAGTGTCAAATATCAGTGCCCCGTTTTCTATAAGAAATCCATCCCTCTCCCTCGTGTTCTGTATGTAAGTGGCTGTGTGGTGTCATGACAGACGATGGATATTGAGGATGATAAATGAGACTGGCTCGGTATTATTGATCGTCAGCCCTTGACATTTAAAGTTTAGATGAATGTTTTTCAGCCGCCAGTACTCCGTTTTCCTGCTTTTCTTTCAAACTGCATAAAGAAGTCATCGAGGGTATGGTTCCACGGACAACAGTAACAATGACAACAATCAGCACTAAAATAAAGGCTTTTCATGTAGGATACCTTCTTGATGTGCTTTACAAGAATCATGTGGATCAAATATTGTGGATGGAATGAGTGAGGGGTTCAGCATGTTTACTAAAGATGAGGACAAACAACAACAACAACAAAATTGCATTTGTATAGCGCTTTTCACAAAGCAATATTTGACAGGATTTTGAAGACAGAGAGAGCAGCACGAAGAGCGAGAGAGAGAGTTGGTGAGCGCAAGGCAGCAATGGCAGAAAGCATGGAAAAGAATAATGCGTATTGGACTGTTATATCACCTTTTCTAATAAATAAAATCTTTCTTGCATTTGATATTTGTAAATGATAGGAGAACGTCTCAAAGCGCTTTATGGGTTATACTGTATAGTGTAGTGTCTATTATGTAAATGAATGCAGCAGCCAATTTGTACACAGCAATATCCCACAAACGGGAATATTCCTACCAATTGTATTAGGGGAATTATTGGCCAGGAGAAACTGCCTACTCTTTTCTATTAGGGCCATGGTATCTTTAGGGAAGACTGGAACAGTCAGACAGGACCTTGTTTTGATGTCTCATCTGAAGGACAATTGATGTGACGTCTTTTGTACAAGCAACAGTGCATTTTACTTGATTCCGGCCATTTGATCCTACAAGTTTGTGCTGTCACTATCACCGACAAGGCCATCTCTGACCACCACTTCATCTCCTTCACCACCTCCACCCCCCTCCCCACCTCCACCAGACCCAACACCATCTTCTACCGCCCCTGGAAGAAGTTACCCCCACAATCCCTAACCGCTGCCTTGGAGTCCTCTGAACTCCTCTCCCTCTGGCCTTCAACCCCTCTTCTCCTCTCACCCTCCTCCACAACACCCTCTCCTCCACACTTGACACTCTTGCCCCCATCACCTCCCGTACTATCTCCTACTCTTTCTCCTCCCCCTGGTTCACCACCACCTCCGCTCACTGAAGTGCCAGGTGCGGGCCGCTGAACGCACCTGCCTCAAATCTGGCCTAACGGTCCACCGACAAATCTGGCTGGACCTCCTCAAAATCTACCGCTCCACTCTAGCCTCGGCCAAGTCGTCCTTCTACTCCAGGATAATCCTGGAGGCGAAGAACAACCCCAGGCTACTGTTTTCTACCACATCCCGACTCCTCCATCCCCCCCGCCACCCCGCGCAGGTCATCTCCTCCAACCTTCACTGCGAGGAGATGCTGGATTTCCTTGAATCCAAAATCAAGGGAATTCGCTCTGCGGTCACTTCCCCTCCAACATCCACCCACCCCCCACCCCCTCCCTCCCACACTCTGACTCCTACCCATCCTCCCCTACACACTTTTGTACCCGTTTCCCCACCCTCTGTCACCAAACTCATCCTATCCCTGAAACCCACCACCTGCTCCCTTGACCCCATCCCCACTCCACTCCTTATCTCCCAGCTCCACCTCCTTGCCCCACATATCACAGACATCGTCAACCTGTCCCTCTCCTCTGGCTCTGTTCCCATTCCCTTAAAAACTGCCACCATCACTCCCACCTTGAAAAAACCCTCCCTTGATGCGTCGCAGCTATCAAGCTACCGGCCCATCTCCAACCTCCCCTTCCTGTCCAAGGTCCTGGAACGAGTTGTCGCCTCCCAGCTGCGCTCTTTCCTCTCCACCCATTCATTATTCGAACCCCTTCAGTCAGGTTTCCGTGCTGCCCATAGCACAGAAACTGCCCTGGTCAAGGTCACCAATGACATCCTGACCATCTGCGACCAGGGCTCCCTCTGCCTCCTTGTCCTCCTCGACCTATCGGCAGCATTCGATACGGTCGACCACGCTATCCTCCTCCACCGCCTGTCCGCCCACCTCAACCTTCAAGGCCTGTCCTTGAGTGATTTAGGTCGTACCTCTCCCACCGTCTTCACTTTGTTTCCACGAATGGCTTTTCCTCCGGCCCCCGCACTGTCTCGTGCGGTGTCCCTCAAGGCTCTGTCCTCGGTCCCCTCCTCTTCACCCTCTATATGCTCCCCCTTGGTGACATCATGCGCAGACATGGGGTTAACTTCCACGTGTATTCAGATGACACCCAACTCTACTTTTCCTCCTCTACCCTCAACTCCACGACCACCGATGTCCTGACAGTCTGCCTGTCCGACATCGAGTCCTGGACGAGAGACAACTTTCTTCAGCTCAACGTGCGTAAAACTGAGGCCCTCCTGATTGGCTCACATCAGCGCCTCCGCACCTCAGGCGCTGACACCATCAGCATCCAAGGCTGCACTCTCCACCTCTCAAAGCCATCAGGAACCTCGGGGTTCTGTTCGACCCTGAGCTGTCCTTTCTCCCTCATATCCGCTCCACAACTGGCACTGCCTTCCATCACCTCCGGAATGTCGCCAAACTACGGCACTACCTCACCCCTCACGCGGCTGAAACTCTGGTCCACACCTTTATCACCTCAAGGCTGGACTATGGGAACTCTCTCCTCGTCGGCCTTCCCGGCACCTCCCTCCACAAGCTGCAGGTCATTCAGAACTCTGCAGCTCGTGTACTGTCCCGCACCAGGCTTCGGGACCACATCACTCCCACCCTCGTTCACCTCCACTGGCTCCCCATCCCCCAGAGGATTGATTTCAAGATCCTCATCCTCACCTACAAGGCCATTCACGGCCTTGCTCCCTCCTACCTCTCCAACCTACTATCCCCCTACTTACCCGCCCGTACCCTCCGTTCCTCTGGCTCCGGTCTGCTCCACATCCCCCGCCCCAACCGCCCTACCATCGGTGGCCGGGCCTTCAGCCTATCAGCCCCGAGGCTCTGGAACTCCTCCCTTTCCTCCTTCAAGGCCGGTCTCAAGACCTTTCTCTTTGACCGTGTCTTCAGCTCCCCTCGCGACTCTCTACCCCCTCCTCGCTCCCTCCCTTCCCTCACCCTGACCATTTCCCCCCTGCTCGGGTCCTGACCCAACTGTAAAGCGCCTTGGGACGTCCTCCCAACGTGAAAGGCGCTCTATAAATGGAATCTTGTTGTTGTTGTTGTTTTGTTTTCTCTCTGCATGAGCCAATCTAATCTCACTCTCCTTTCACTTAAAACCACGATATTGAAATTTTAAGATCGTGCATAAATTTGGGGGAATACTTAAATTTTGGAAATTGATTTTCCAAGCGCTGAATTCCAAATTAAAACTGAATTTGAAGATTTTTCCAAATAAAATCGACTTGGTCTTAAATTTTAAGACTACGACCATAAGATTGACTATGTGGAATTCGAGGCCTTTGAAGAAGTTCAGATAATTTGTCAAATTTATTGTCTAACCCTCTTGTCTGGTTTGTTCTGCAGATCTCCATTGAGAACGATTATCTTGGCCCACGCAGAATTGAAGGTCTGAAGAAAGAGGATTTTAATTGGCAAAGGAAAGCCCACATGGCTGTCCTGTCCATCCAGGATTTGACGGTGAAGTACTTTGAGATCACAGCAAAAGCACAGAAAGGTAGCGAACCCTGTGTGGTTTAGTGTAATCGGCGCTATCTAGATGACAGAAAGCAAAAGCACAAAACTGGGCCATTTGATCCTATAAGTTTGTGCTGTTTTGATTTTTCTACATGAGCCAATCTAATCTCACTCTCCTGTTTACTGAGGGCGAGATTAGATTGGCTCATGCGGAGGAGAGACCTATAAAGGGGCTGAGATCGCAAACCATTTGTAAAGCTAAAACAATGACAAGCCTCTGATATGTGTTAATTGAATCTGCAAATGTGACATTTGGGTGGAAATGCTGGTTTTACCATCTACCTAATATTTCCCCACAATGGATTTTTAAATCTTGATATTTGTTGCTATGTGCAATACAATTCTCCTTCTGTCTTTCAAATCCCTATTCTTCCCCTTCCCACAATAACTGGCAAGCTTCCTGAACTATTCCAGAATATTACAATAATTATAATAAAGAAAAATAGGAGTCCAACATGTTTTTCTGTAGTATAGTGTAGTATATTGCACTGAATTCGGTTCTTATTGAAGGAGGTAGATCGTTGGGGTAAGAACACTACAGCAATTGGGTGTCTGCCATTCCTCCGTGAGATACAGTGCAGGAAAGGTGCAGGATAAACCTTTTCTGTATATTAGCATGTCTCAAATCTCATCCTTACAAAAGCTCCTCCTGCTCCATCAGAGCGATATTTCCATTCCATACACAAGTAATCCTTGTGGCTTCTATGAATGAGACTGTCGAAGAGAAAGGAAGCTTTCATTCCTTCAGTACTGAGCTGGATTTGAACTGAGGTCATTCTGCACCACATTGCATTCCCAGAAGTTTGTTATTTATAAACTAAAATGTACACTCGGGCTACTTTTATTTCACATTTTGAACTTTCAAGTGTGGTGTCTGTGACAGTCTTGCTAAGGTGAGTGGATGGGTCTATTTTAAACTCCTGTCTTGACCTTAAACGTCTGTTTAAATGACCACATCCACTCACCTTAGAAAGCACTAAAAGAACTTTTGAGCATATTAAATTCCACACATCCTTTCCATAAGTGACCTCTGCAAACATTATATGGCGTCAATTACTATTGATGAAGTTTGTGAAATAGAAAAATATGAAAGACTATGTAACCTGAATATATGGTGAATCAAGATAGTTTGAGTTCATACCCAATAGTTTCCAACCTTTATTTGTGTGGAAAAACACCAATTCAGTCTTTAAATCACTACATTCCTTTTTCCGAAAAACTTGCCTTTGCGGTTTGTACAAATACTGTACTACTGTAACCACGTAATACAAAGTGCAGTGTAACGATAGCTCGAATTGGCCACTTCCCATCAGTGAATACTGGCGAAAGATTAATGTGGTGACTGAGTCTGATATTAAGAACGAGTTATATCACATGTTTGTCTCTGTATGTGTTTGAGCATTTTATATCATCTTGCACAGAATGTTTGCTTTTAAGTTTGTATCTTGACATTGTGTGAGATTTGTCAGTAATTATTTGTATGGTTATTTGCTAAGACAATCAATGCCTGTAATCTTAACAGAAAATCTGTGGCTTGTGGGATTCACTGATTTACTTCTTTAGAAATCTTTAATGTACAAATATTGATATGACAAAAAAGTTGAAGTAAAGGTGTTATGTCACTTTATGATTCTGCCATGTTCCGTTTTTCATTCTTGCATAAATTGCAGGAAGTTGGCTCCTGTTACCAACCGTCTCAATTGCTGCCATTCATTCAACCATAATTTGAAGAAAGGCTACATTCCCTTTCCAGATTGCTAGCTCCCACCATTTCATACGGAACTCTGTGTATTTGGATTGGGAGAAAGATGTCCACCACAGCCAGGCTACCAACAAATATTAACAAATCCAGTTTTGAACAGTGATCACTGGTGGGAGAATTCTCTATTGAGCAAGTACCTGTCTAATATAATAATAAAGTCTTTCGCCAGCTGCTTTCTACTTGTGGACCTGCAAAACATCAATTGGGTTATCCTTACTTGGAAACTTACTGTGAGACCACGCTTTTAAAATGTATGCTTTTTTGGGACTTGTGGAAACCATGGATTAGCATTCAGCTCTTAAGGCCTGAAATTGTGCCTAATGGTTAGTCTGTAAGACCGTTTTGTCATAAAATTTAAATTGCAATGTAATTTTTCCACAGTTCTACACCATCTTAAATTTTCAGGCAAAATACTCTTGCAAGTTGAAACTCAGTAGATAGTTGGGCCTCTGAGCACAATTGATTGCACATTTGAGAGCAATAACTCACTCGTCACAATTCCACGACCCAAACCATGGAGACGAGAACTGTTAAAGTGTTTTTTTGATGTTTTTGGCACAAAAGTTAGGTGAGCTTCATAAAAACATTACCCCACATTTTTATTTATGCCTCACAAACAGTGCTTACTTTGAGCAAGTTGGTTGGTGATGTTTGAGGTAGAAGTAGTGATGACTGCTCAGACAGGAGAATAGGAACCTGAAATGGGACTTAGAGAATTGGAATATATATTGTATGTTTTATACAAGATGAGGAAATTGTTGGGATTCCCTATAATGCAAATCAGTGAGTAATGCATGAGCCATATTTTTATAATCCACGGATTTTAATTCTGGTTGTTTATGCAGAGTGCTGAAGCTTCACTTCTTGCTGGAGACACCCATTTAATAATAATAATAATACAATAATCTTTGGTATTTGATATAGGGCCTTATCATGTCATTGACTCTCAATGCTCAGAATATACTGTAAAGTGAATTGACTTGACTGTATGTTCTGTGGGCAAAACCCGGGAGCCAATTGCCCACAGCAGTGTCCCACAAACAATCTCGGATTGAGTAACCAAATTATTATTTAAAAGAATTAAAAAATGTTGATGAGTTGAGTGCAGTCTGGCGCATGGCACTGATAATTTACAGTCAGCTGTTTTCACCATACTGTTTTCTACATAGCCATCTAGCAATAGCTCAGCCTTAGACTATTAGCTGATCACCAATTTGTGACTAATCTTTTTGAGGTGGAAAACACGATTTCTCTTTGGTCTGTCTGGCTCCAAAGTGACACACCTAGCGAAGGGAGGTTGTAGCTGAGTCAACTCTTGTGATCTCAGTGTTCCAATACCTAATCTAGGGAGGTCCCTAATACTGTACTCCTCCAGGGTAATCATAGAATCATATAATTATACAGCAAAGAAGGAGGCCATTCGGTCCATCGTGTCTGTGCCGGCTCTTTGAAAAGAGCTATCCAAATCAGTCCCACCCCCCGGTCTCTCTTAGAAGTTGTTATCGAATCGGCTTCCACCACCCTTTCAGGAAATGCATTCCAGATCCGAACAACTCGCTGCTTGAAAACATTTCTCCTCACCTGCCTTCTGTTTCTTTTAACAAATATTTTAAATTAGTGTCCTCAGGTTACTGACCCACCCGCCAGTGGAAATTATTTTTCCTTGTTCACCCTATCAAATCCCCTCATAATTTTGAAAACTTCTATTAAATCTCCTCTTAACCTTCTCTGGTCCAAGGAGAATAATCCTATAATCAGCATTGTTGGGCCACGGTGAGAGTAGACTGCCACTTTTGAGTGAGATTCTTAGACTCTGTTTGATAACCTACATGTCACTGGCTTAATGGAGGAAGTAGTCTGGCTGGACAAGCAGTGTTCCTTGTGCTGAGTTATTTTAGCTAGTTAAATTCCAGTAGTACCCCAATATATCCTTCTTTCAGGGATTAGAATAGCTCCCCTGGGAAGAGATTAAGTATTCCAGAACTGAAAGACAAAAGCTTTACTTTTGTGCGTTCTTAGTAGCAGAAATTAAAGACTCTTATTCACCACAGGGGTTTTAAACATGTGTCAGACTCTCAATTGACCAGAAAAAAACAAGCTCTAGTCTGTTCTTTGTGCTGCACTACAGACCTAGGAGTGCTGAGATAGCAGCATTCGGACTCTTGAGAAATCTACTATAAAAATCACAGCCAGTTTATTGAAGGTCATTCAGGAAGCTGCTTAGAGTCAAATATACAGCTTACTGTCATGTGTGGAGAAATGAGGATAACAAAAAGAGATTTAAAGCCACTGGAACATAATTATTGGCTGGAATGTTACTTCTAGATGCCAAGGACCCAAATTCTTCCTGTTCGTAAACGATTGTCTTAAAATTTAAGATTGGGCTATTTTTTGGAAAATGACCAAATCTGAATAGGGAAGCAGATTTTTTTTCCCCCACAGTTTGTTTTTTCTTCAGGTACTTAGGAAACTTTGGTTAAGGTACTGAGAAAAATTGGCTCTGGATTAATACCGCATGTAAAATAGTTTTCCATAATCTCCCATCTTCTGAAATAATAATAATAATAATACTTGCATCTGATATAGCGCCTTATGACGTCATTGATACATCTCAAAGCCCTTCACAGGATATATTGTAAAGTGATTATGTATTGTGTGGGCAAAGTTAAGAGTGGTTTTAAGCCATAAGAACATGAGGATCTGTGGACCTCAGGAGCTGCTGTGACTATTGATTGCTTTGTGTGTCCTCTGACAGATCTTGCCTCTGTATGTTTTTAGGTGTGTACGATCGAATGCGTGCAGACCAAAAGAAATGCGGGAAGGCTGCGTGGGCCATGGCAGTGGAGCGGATGGAGAAACTTCGATACGCGGTTGCTAAGGAAACATTGCAGCTGATGCGAGCAAAAGAGATCTGCCTGGAGCAGAACAAGCATGCACTGAAAGATAAAGTAAGTTTTTCTCATTTATATAATAATAAATAATAATCCTCGCATTTGATATAGCGCCTTATCACGTTGTTGAGACGTCTCAAAGCGCTTCACAGAATATATTTAAAGTGACTTGACTGTGTATTCGAGAACACTTTTTAGGGAGTGGGGGAGGGAGGCAGCCGAGTGTCTAACACATGCAGAAACACATCACCATGATTAAGAGTATCCAAGCCAAGTTGAGATTTTCATGTATCCCACCTACACATGGAAATCCCAGAAATAGATTGCTGGAATAGAATGGGCACTTTCTCCATGGAGGGACACATCCTGCTTATCTAATTCCGGACGGTATTAGGAACAAGATGGCAAGGGCCAAGGCTTGGGGACCCCAGAGTGTCATTGGGGTACTGCTGGAGTCTAACCAGCTGAAACTGCATAGCTTGCCATTGATATTGCTGTCCAGCAAGCTTTCCCGCTGCTCGTCCAGCTAGGACCACCCTACCTGTTAGGTCTTTGGTTGTAGAGTTAACAGGAGCTGAGTGAGATGACTCCTTGACCCCGGTGACTGGTCTGCCTTTCCAGGTCCTGTCGATGAGCCAGGCTGGTTGTGCTGTCATCAGCAGTAACCTGGAATATTGCAGACCCACCTGGCTCAGGAACTGGACGACCGAGACCACCACAGAGGGCTGACTTGATTCCGACATTCCATTGCTAGGCTTGTCACCTTGGAGCCAGTTCAGCTCCAAGGAGATTCGGGAGCACCATGGGCAGCTTTGCTTATTCAGATCTGCCACCGAGTTTTCCACTTCCCATTTTCTGGTTTGACATGATCTGCTCATCCGGGATTAACCTGGTCACCTCTACAATGTTCCCCTGTTAATCGCCAGTCTTTCAGCTTTTCACTGGCTGTCAAAGCTGCTTGTTTTAAAGACAGATTTCAACTGGTAAAGAGCTGAGTTAGAAAATAGATGTTGCCATTTCCAAAATAGATGGAAAGAGGGAAGAAAGGAGAGGAGGCAGGCAAAGGGTAGCAAAAAACAGAAAGTTGGGAAAAGGGAAAAATGAGACTGACAGATTGAACACAGAACAAAATGTTATGTTTTTATTTTAATTTGATATTTATATTTATGAGTTTAGTGGGTTTAAGTGCTCCGAGACGCCGTCCAGAGTGAAGGACTCTATATAAATGCGAGTTATTGTTGTTAATCATTTCTCTGAGGAAGCCACAACCTCATGATAGCAATTTTGCAAACCAGTGCTTTCTAATTAGAATAATAAAGCTATCTTCAAAGAAACAGCAAATGAAAAGCTTGCGGTGTTATAGCAGCCTATCGGATCAAAACCTTTCAAAGCAATGTGCTAATGAATTAGGCTTTTTAGCTGTTGCTATTGTAGCTGTTTGTGCCAGCACAAAACAACCTTAATCTGGAAGATTGTTGCCAGAACACCAAAATAAACTCTCTTCTCTTTCTGAACACTGTAGTTTCATAGAATCTTTCATGTCCACCTTCTTATCCAGATGTGAGAGTGCTACCAACTGGGCCCCTTAATAGCTTTAATCTAGGATAGTTTTTTTTCACTGTCAGTGTGTGAGATGAAAGTTTACAGACCAGTCAGCTCTACAGCAAAGATGGGAGGTTCAGATGACATGCCAGCAGCCTAAGGATTAAACTAGGCGACAACAAATGAATGGATAAATGTAACTTGTGGTTACAGGTATTGGTAAGAAATGAGATTTTATTATACATCTAGTTATATTTGAGTTTCTATCATTTACAGCTGTATTATTTATAATTTGATGAGGGAATTACCTATAAACATCTAGAGTTGTAAAGCTGTGTCATAAATCCTATAACTGACTGGGATTTAATTATGTGAGCACTTTTAGACGTCCTCCCAACGTGAAAGGTGCTATATATAAATGTAAATTGTTGCGGTTGTCTTTGGTGATTGAATAAAGTTCAGACTCGCTCTTCCTACCTGATATATGAACCACTGCAATAAAACCTGACTAAAATAACCAGCACCTGATGGAACTGCTCTTGTTGGCTTCTGCCAATGAACAGGTGTTCAGATCAGTGCCAGAAGGTTCTTTGTTAAACTTTGATGTCATCATTAAATCCAGAGTGGCTAGTTTCTGAGCCTGTTCAATGTTTATTTGTTCTTAATAAATGTCTGACTTTTTCATATGGGCTTTATACTAAAGCAACCCCCTCCCTATTTTTGTGATGCTATTGTGTATTTGTCCTCTTGTCGTGTGTCACAGATGCATGAAATGTGAGTGTTGGGCCAACAATATTTGCTCCACGTTTGCTTTTTCAGGTTTATCGCCAGTGATCAGTGTAAGGAAGTGTCTCAAGTTTTTGCACTTTGTTTCCTCTAATGCAGATGCAGAGCCTTCAGAGTGGCACAGATGCCATAGCACGGCTGGTCCGGCTGGAGACTGATTATTATGACATGCAGCTTCAGTTGTATGAGGTGCAGTTTGAGATCCTGAAATGTGAGGAGTTACTGTTAACAGCACAACTTGAAAGCATTAAAAGACTCATTACAGGTACAGTAGAAAGTTGCAATGAAAATGACTTGAGTAGGAGTGCAAGTTACCTTGGTGTGTTATCGTGGAGTCCTGTAGCTCAGTGGTTAGCGCACTCGCTTTGCAAGCGAGAGACCTGAGTTCAATTCCAGGCAGGGCGAAACCTTGGGCAAGTTTCCTTACTCCACACAGAGCCTAATAATAATCCCTCCAAAAACAAAAAACAATAATAAATTGGTCATTTTCAATCTACGACTGTTTGTGGGACATTGCTGTGCGCAATTGGCTGCCGCGTTCGCCCACAAATATACAGTCAATTCACTTTGCAGTATGTTCTGTGAAGCGCTTTGGGACGTCCTCCCGACGTGAAAAGCGCTATATCAAAAGCAAGGATTATTATTATTATTATTATTATCCTCCGGCGCTGTTTAAACCAGCACAGCTTTTGCTAAAAGTACGTCAACGTTCTGGATCCTGGGTAACTTCGTCAACTGAAACAAATGTCTCCATATCGCAGGCAAACTTGACTTCTACATTGGAGCCCAATGCAAAGAAATAATAATAAAAATAATAATAATGATAATATAGGCATAATATTATTTTATAATACATAATATTACACAATACATAGTGCATATGTCACATAATAAGTAAATATTTTTTGCATTAGAAATAGTGCATTTCATGCCTGGAGAAGGTCTCAAAGAACTTCCCGGGTTTTACAGTAAAATGTAGTGACTGTAGATTATAGGTAAACACACCAGTCTATTGTGAACTGACATGTGGTATTCCACTGTATTTGGCAACTGCAATAGAGCACGAGGCTAGATGAACAGACAGATGGTTAAATGAAGAGAGTAGTGGAACAGAATGGAGAGGATCTAGCATAAATTCATTAGGAATACACCAGTGATGACAGGATATAGACTTACAAAACTGGTTAATAAATCAGCAACAGGGTTCCATTAACTCCAGATGTTGATGGAAGAGTAAAAGTGACAAGGTGTTTTTATACAAAGGGATTTTAGGATTTGTTATTGATGGCTATTGAAGCCATGTCAATTTAAAAGGGAATTAGATAAATGCAATACAGAGTTTAAAGAAAGAAAAGGATAAGGGGAATGGTCAGAAAAATAATAATATACAGTAGATAGTGTTAAAGAACAGATGGTCTATTAAATGATTAATTGAGAAGAGCTATTATAAATATAACAGATTATTAAATAGATTTTTCACTTTAGTCTCCAGTAGGTGTGCCAAGGAATCTGTAAAATGTGAAAGTTAGTAGTGAATGAATTATGCAGTATCTTGAAGGATTAAATATCTCCAAGGTGCCTGAGCCTTGAACCATTAAGGAATTGAAAGAGGAAATTGGTTAATTGGTTTTACTGGAGAAAAGAGACGCAATCCAAGTATATAGGATTATGAAAGATATGGAGAAAATTGAGATTGCAGGGTATTTAATGGGTTAGATTGTTGGACTGGACAACACAAATATAAAATTCATAATCCTTGAGGTTGGAATTGAATTTTCCACAAGGTAGTTAATCTGTGTAACAGAGTCCAAGAAAAAGAAACCAATTTGGGTCAGTTGAGACCTGTAAACAGGAGTTGGATCAATCACTGTTGAGAAATGGGATTAAAGATGATAGGGTAGTAACAATTTGTCTTGATTACCACGAAAGCTCGTAAAAGAGGGTACAACCCTTGAAGTTAAGGAATTAATGTGTTTGTAGGTTGGGGGGTGGGGAATATACAGGCGATCAATCATACATGGGATATGGAAAGAGTGAGATTGAGGAGCTGAATAGCCTTTTCTTGTTGCAGGTTTTTATTTACATTCAGAGTTTCAATTGTCGAGGAATGGTTCTGCCCATTCCTATTTGTTATTAGCACATGAAATGCCTTCAGTTTGCACCAGCAGATTGTGATCCACACTCCCACATGCATTCCACACTCGCTGCATATTATCAGTGTAAGAAAATACAGGAAACATTCATTCCGGTGTCTAGGTGGCCAATTGAGAACTGTCTTTCATCAAACAGACAGAAAGCCTGATACGAGTGACTGCTAATCCTCATATTGTGCAAAGATACCATAAAGCCAAGTAAGAACTGCACAATAATCATTGAAGATGTCTCTAAATGGCATTGTAATGGTCAATGGCCTATCTGGTGCAGATCTGCTTCATGGGCCACAGCTGATTTGTTACACTTGAGAATAATAATAATACTTGCATTTGATATAGCGCCTTATCACGTCTTCAAGACGTCTCAAAGCGCTTCCCAGAATACACCTGGAGCATCGTTTTTAGTTTTGCGATTGTGCAAAAGAGTAAAAATGCTAGTCTGGTACTTACAACAACAATAACTTGCATTATATAGAGAGGCAGAGTCTCGGAGCGCTCCTTACAAAGAGTACTCCAGGGAAAACTGATAGAAGTCCTAATTGGAATTACACTTTTGTAAACTAGCTAATACATTGTGAATTGAAAGCCAGACTTGCTTTCAGTGAGCTGTTTTATGATTTGTTCCAATGATTATCCTGTCAGTGACCCATTTGATAATGTAAATATCCTAGACTTGAAGCCATTATTTCTTGATTTCATTGTTGAGCCTAATAAAACTTTCCAGCAACTGCCTGATGTATATGACTATCTGGCTTTCGATCTATGCCACAGGATGGACTTTTAGGTTTCATTTCTGCACAGTATTATCTTCTAGGTTGTGTGGGATGGCTGGCACACACATTTTTAAGAGCTTTATTCATTGTGTGATAATAAATTATCAAGATCTATTAGCAGTTCCTGTCGGACAACAACAGAAAGTGTCAAATTTTAAAATCCAATATTTCAAACCTTATTATCAATACAATAATAATTAATAATGACTACTTGATCCCATCCCCATTTAAAGGTAATTACATATAATGTGAACTTTATCTGTCCTATTTTGTGCTTCACACAAGTCAGCAATTTGTGTACAAAAGTGATTGGTTACACTTGGGATACCTGGAGCATTGTTTCCAGTTTCGGACCACAACATTTTCTTACCTAAATGTTCCCAAATCCTGTTACCTGGTCATCCAAATGTACTTCACACTCAAATCAAGCTCGAGCCCAAATATGGCCACAAAATAATGGGATTTGAAGTGTGATGATGTGTTTTGATGCGTAACAATGCAATTTCACATGTGATGGACCGATGTGGCTGGCCAGCCAACTCTCTGTATGTGTGTTTTTAGCATCACAGGTCACAAGGAAGTATTGATCAGCGGCCGGTCTTAATCGGCCAATAATAATAATCATAATCATAATCCATATTGATATAGCATCTTATAGGGCTTTTGAGACATCGCCAAGCGCTTCACAGGATTTACTGTAAAGTGGTGCAGGCGATATGATTAGGTGGTTTGGAATTTTGCAGGGACACCGCAACAACCCCAGCTGCTGTCCTATAATGGGGTTTTACTGTAGTTACGTTATACTAATGCTCTGGGTTTGATTCCCGGGTAGGGCGAAATGTTGGCCAAGTTTCCTTACTTCACACACCTCTGTTCACCTAGCAGTATGTAGGAACCCAATTGTTAGTCGATTGGATCATGGCTTTTCCGGGGGTAATAATCCATTAAAATAATAATTATAATTTGGTCACTCAATTCATGACTGTTTGTGAGACACCGCTGTACACAATTGGCTGCAGTGTTTTGCCTACAAAATGTAGTCAATTCACTTTACACTATATTCTGTGAAGCGTTTTGAGGCGTCCCAGTGCTATATCAAATGCAAGGATTATTATTATTATCTAACTCTGAGGGCTGAAAATCTCATAGTTTTTAGCTTTACGGCCATCATCGGTTTAAAATTCAAGGTTGTACAGAATTTGGGAAAATTCTTATTCAGTCTTAATTTGGAAGCCAGGTCCTCAGCAGTCGTTTTCAGGAAAGCTATGAATTTTGATGTAAGGCTGAAATATAAGAATTTTTCAGAATTCAGCATAATGTTAAATTTTATGATCACAGTCCTAAGGTTTTGTCAGTGAGGAGATTTGGGCATCAGTTGTCTTAATCCCTGAATCAGGGCTTATCTGCAGAACTGGATAATGTCCAAAATCTAGTTTAGAAGGTGGTTTTGAAACATCGGAAGTAATACACGATGCAGCAAATTACCGCAGGTATCCTGGAACTATTTAATTGATTGATGCCTTGGCCAGGTCTGGGATTGAGACACAGCTGGGTTGGAAACCATAGCAGAGTGACCTTGTCTGAGTGGGATTGTCATTACATTTGAAAGGCACTGATTAGCTGGCACTGATTTCTTTCACTGTTTTTAGTTACCATTGTCTTGGCTGGAAGAGTAAAATATTATATATTACATATTACATATTCAGAAAAAGATTGCTTACTGCTGCCTGTCGCTACTTTATGTTGAACAGAGAAACAAGAAGAAGTTGTTTACTACGATACTTATGAAAGCATGGAAGCTATGCAGGCGAAGGAAGAGATAGCCATGTCCACAACAGCACAGAAAGCGGAGCTGGTGAAACTGCAGCAAAAATCACGTCAGCTGGAGGCCCGACGTGGCCGCATTTCAGCCAAAAAGGCCTACCTCAGAAACAAGAAGGTAAATAATAATCCTTACATCTGATATAGAGTCTCACCATATTTTCCAGACGTCTCAAAGCGCTTCACAGAATATACTGTAAAGTGAATTCATTGTATGTTCGTGGGCAAAATGCGGCAGCCAATTGCGCACAGCAGTGTCCAGCAAACAGTCGTGGATTGAGTGACCACATTTTTTTTTGAAGGGATTATTACCCCCTGATATAGCACCTTTCACACCAGGACAACGACTTAATGCACTTTACAGGATATACTGTAAAGTCTAGTGGCTGTGTACTTTGTGGGTGAAACATGGAGGCTAATTTGTACAAAATAATATTCCACAAACAGCTGTGAATTGAATTGACCATCTTCAACCCACAATTTCTGACTTGGAGAAGAGAGCGCTACCGACTGAGCCAGGCTGACACACAATTACAGCACCCGCAGTGCACACTGTATGATTGTTTCAACAAAATCCAGGCTTTAATTAATGTTCCTTTGCCAATGTTGATATAGCATTTGTTTGCAGCGTTTTCAAGAATTCTGTATTCCCTCAAATTTTAAAGCAATGGTTTTAAGCTTGAGAGCATTAAGGCTTAATTCATGAGTTATATCAGGTCTCTGGTGTATCTAGGGACTCAAGCATTCAATGAAGAAACGATCCATCAGCCCAGGCTGAGGGACACTGATACAGCAAGCCAGGCTGCTGGTCTGTGATGGGAAGTGTTTCAGCTCTGCCTTACTTGATACTGTCACACGACAGCTCTATAGAGATTGGTAACCCAGCAGTAGTGGGGAGTGGGTGTGACATAGACCCGATTATCCCTAAAGAATTTAGCCAAGGATTTATGTTCCACTTTCAAGATTATGAAGATCTCTTAGGCTAAATTATCTGATTAGTTAGAATTGGTGCACACTCCTGAAGCGATTCTGTGGTCAGATGATGGTCTGGTCTCCCAGTTTATTGTATACTGATGATAATGATAAGTAAAACCGTCTGATCACAAGCTGGTTCAAACGTTTGCAGTTGGATGTTAAATTTTGATCAGGTGTATTTATTTAGTTTTTGTTGAGATTTAGGGGTCCATTTTGCAGGATTTCGTAACTAATTTTATGAAGAAGTCCAAGTGAGGACTCCTTCCAGTAACTAGTGACTAACTATCTCTCTGCCTCCATGCTCGACTCCAGGACCACTGCTGTTCTGACAGTATGTCTTTCAGACATCAAGTCCTGGATGACAGCTGACTTTCTACAGTTGAACGTCAACAAGACCGAGGCTCTCTTGATTGGCTCCAGTCAGCGCCTCCTCACCTCAGGCACTGACAGCATCACCTTGCTAAGCCAGCCCAGAACCTTGGTGTCTTGTTTGACCCTCAACTATCCTTTCTACCCCACATCTGTGCCATGACCCACTCTGCCTTCCTTCACCTCCGCAACATCGCCCGGCTCTGCCACTGTCTTTCCCCTCAGGCCACCAAAACCCTCATCCACACATTCGTCACATGTAGACTATGCCAACTCCCTCCTTGTCGGCCTCCCCAACTCTTCCCTCCATACGTTGCAGATTATCCAGAACTCTGCAGCTTGTGTCCTCTCCTGCACCAGGCTCTGTGACCCTCTCAACCCCGTCCTCACCCAACTCTACTGCTCCCCATTCCCTAGATGATAGAGTTCGAAATCCTTGTCTTCACCTTCCAGGCTGTCCACAGCCTTGCTCCTCCCTATCTCTGTGACCTGCTAACCCCTTATCAACTTGCCCGCTCCCTCCACTCAGCAGGCTCCAGCCTGCTCCACGTCTCCTGCCTGGCCCACCCCACCATCGGTGATCAAGCCTTCAGCTTCTCTGCCTCCACCCTTTGGAAATCCATCCCACAGTCCCTCCACCTCGCCCCTCCTTCAAGGCACGTCTCAAGACCCTCTTCTTCGAGCGTGCCTTCAGGCGCTCTCCTACCCCTACCCATCTAGCCCTTCAGCCCCCTGTTCCCAACCACCTGCTTATGTCCAAATCCCTGACTGTCCGGTGCCTTGCTCCCGACGTGAATTGCGCTTTTCAAATATGATTTGTTGTTGTAGTACATCACTCTTGAAGGCATTGTGTTTCGAAAGTAGATTGAGAGAGAACTGCGTTCACAGATATCTATATTTCCTAATTTTCACTGGAAGGGGAGTAGGTGACTAGGGGACGTAGAGTTAAGATTAAGTCACAAGAAGAGCAAAAAAAAAATGTTTTCAGACAGAACGTTGTTGGGATATGGTATATCATACCATGTAAGGTGATAGATAGACGCAGAGTCCATTGTGGGTTTCAAGAGAGAAGTAGACAGATATCTGAAAGATAGAGGCTTGAAAGGCTGTGGGGGAAGGATAAAGCAGTGTGATTGAAAGTTTAGCTTGTTCTGAGAGCCAATGCAGACTTGATGGGCTGAATGGCTTCTTTCTGTACTGTAAATTATTATGATTCTATCAATTAAAAGAGGAAGCTGGATACACACAGGTGTGGGGGAGAGAAAATAAGAGTATGGGAGGGAGTAAGGAGTGGGTGGGAAATTAAGTGCAGTATAAACATCGGAACAGACTCATTGGACCAAATGTCCTGTTTCCATGCTGTAAAATCTTATGTAAATCCATATAAACTTTAGCTTTCCCATTCTTACGATCTCCGAAACCCTATCCTGCATGAAGGGCCCTATATAAATGTAAATTGCTGTTGTTATAAATTTAAAAATCCATCAAGAAATACTGAAAAAATTAACTCTGTAATATGCAATAGAATTTGGGAAAAGTAACTTTTTTAATGTGTCAGCAACAACAGATGCCTGGCAATCCATTACAGTGCTGCAGTCTAATCTGAGTTTAGATTACTCCGCTGGAGGGTTCTCATGTGTAATATGACGCTAAGATTAGGTTATTAGATTGATGAATCTGTAATTCGCACAAAGGTAGACTCTTTTCAAATCCTGCCAATGCTGTGTTTCTTTCATGTAATGGAAGTTTATATCATGTGGCTGAAAATGCAAAAATATAATAAGACGTCAGATACCCTTCCAAAAGATTAATTGTATTGGATCCTGTAGCCTCTTCAAAGGGAATGGAAAATAGTCAGGAAACGTGTGATAACTTCTAATACAACACAGCCCATTACATTGTAGAAATTGTAGCTTTTAATTTTAAGGTTGTCTTCATGACTGAGAGCGAGAGCTGGCAATGGGTTGAGCTGAGCAGAAAGAATAATTGAAAGCAGACGATATAAAAATGTTACCGTGTTGAACCCTGATGTTTTGAATGTGATTATTACATGCAGGTGATTTTTAAAGAAACCCCATTCATAGGCCTCTTAGTCTACAGAAACCTACTGAACTAACCAATACTTCCTTTGTTGGCTGAATTTATATTTAAAGAGGCCACAATCCAAATCAGAACATGAAGTAAATTCTTTAGGGCTTGAGTTCTTGACTTGGTTATTGATTACTTGGGAAGAACAACAACAACAAAATTACATTTGCATAGCGCCTTTCACGTCTGGAGGATGTCCCAAGGCATTGGACAGTCAGAGTTTTGGACCTGAGCTGGGGGTCGGGATTGGGGAAGGTGGAGGGCAGGGGGGGAAACAGGGTGATCAAAAGCACGGTTGAAGAGGAGGGTCTTGAGATGGGTCTTGAAGGAGGCAAGGAGGGACTGCAAGATGAAGTTCCAGAGGGTGGGGGCAGAGTGGCCTGCCAATGGTGGGGTGTGCGAGGCGGGGGGTGTGAAGCAGGCCGGAGCCCACTGAGCGGTAGGAGCGGACGGGATGGTAGGGGGTTAGGAGGTCGCAGCGGTAGGGGGAGCAAGACCATGGAAGGCTTCGAAGGTGAGGACCATGATCTTGAACTGTATCCTCTGTGTGATGGGAAGCCAGTGGAGTCGGGCGAGGATGGGAGTGATTGGGTCACAGAGCCTGGTGCGGGAGAGGACATGGGCTGTAGAGTTCTGGATGATCTGCAGCCTATGGAGGGAGGAGTTGGGGAGGCTGACAAGCAAGGGATTTGCATAGTCAAACCTCGATGTAATGAATGCATGCATGTATGAGGGTTTTCAGCGGCCTGCGGTGTGATGTTGTGGAGGTGGGGAAGGCAGAGCGGGTCATGGCATGGATGTGGGATAGAAAGGATAGGTGAGGGTCAAACAGACGCCAAGGTTCCGGACTGGCTTAATAAGGTGGAGTGTGCATCCATGGATGATGATGGAGGTGAGGAGGCGCTGACGGGAGCCAATCAGGAGATCCTCAGTCTTGTTGACGTTCAACTGAAGGAAGTTTGCTCTCATCCAGAACTTGATGTCTGACAGACATTCGGTCAGGACAGCAGTGGTCCTGGTATCAAGGGTGGAGGCAGAGAGATACAGTTGGGTGTCATCCGTATACATGTGGAAGTTGACCCCATGTCTGCGGATGATGTCACCAAGAGGGAGCATATAGATATTGAAAGGGAGGGGACCAAAGTCAGAGCCCTGAGGAACACTACATGAGACGGTGCGGGGGCTAGAGGAGAAACCGTTTGTGGAGATGAAGTGGAGGAGGTGTGAAAGGTACGATCTGAACCAGTCAAGGACAGTCGTGAAGCTTGAGTGAGAGCAGAGGTGGTGGATGAAGATAGAGTTGTCATCGGTGTCGAAGTTAGCAGAGAGATCAAGGAGGATGGGGATGAGGGAACCCTGGTCGCAGATGGACAGAATGTAATTTGTCACTTTGACCAGAGCTGTTTCTGTGCTGTGGGCGGCATGGAAACCCGATTGGAGGGGTTCGAGAAGGGAGTGGCGGGAGAGGAAGGAGCAAAGCTGAGAAGCAACAACTCGTTGCAGGACCTTGGAGAGGAAAGGGAGGTTGGAGACGGGGTGGTAGTTTGAGAGCAGGAATGCGTCCAGGGAGCATAGGAATATTTTAAAACTAAATTTAACATTTCAAACAAAAATACAGAGCCTTTTTGAAGTTTATCTTCCTGAAGATCTGAATTTCACTTTTTAGAAAAATATATTTCCTTATGACCCGGGTCACTGTACTGTAATCTTATCTTTTTGTTTGGCCAGCCATGTGAATGTCGCATGCGGAAACCAGTCACTGTGTTTAGGAATATACATATATATATATATATGCCACCTAAACACAGAAATTCTATTGTCTGGAATGGAATATGTGTTCTCTCCCTGGAAGGAATGCATCCTGCTTACCTAATTCCAGAGATTATTAGGTGAGGTTGGCAAGAACCAAGGTTGGAGGGTCCCATTGTGTGTGTGGGGGATTACCGCTGGAGTTTAACAATAATCTGCATTTGTACAGTGCTCTTCATGTGGGGCAGCGTCTCAGAGAGTTATAGGTTGCCATTGTCTAACAAACTTTCCCGCGACCTGTCCAGCTAGGACCACCCTACCCACTCCACCAAGCCTCCTGCTTGTCTCTCATCCCTTCCGCTCCACCATCAGCGAACGTGCTTTCAGTCACTACTCCCTGAAACTTTGGAACTCTTTCCTTCAATTCCTCTGTCTTGCCCCCTCCGTCCTATTTCTCAAATCACACTCTTCGACCATGTTTCCTTCAGGAACCGTCTCAAGACCCTCCTGTTCGACCGTACCTTCGGTCACAATCCTTCCCCCCTTGCCCTCCCTGATCCCAACTGGGTCCGAAACACTGATTGTCCAGTGCCTTGGGACATCCTCCCAACGTGAAAGGCACTATACAGATGTAATTTTGTTGTTGTTTACGGTCACCTCCTCCCTCCCCCAGCTCAATATCAGGCTCCACGCACTGTTAAGCACTCCGAGACCCTACTCCGCCTGAAATGTGATATATAAATGCAAGTTGTTGTATTTTCCGATCTGCATTCTCCACTCTCCTTAATCTGGCTTGAAGATTACTTCCGCTCGTGGTTACTTCCTCTGTTCCAGCCTCAGAAGCTGAGTCACTGAGCCCTTGTCCTGTGGAACACTCTTCCAAAATCACTTTGCAATGTGTGTGCAGATATTGGGTAAGGACTGGGTCAAGTTCAATCAACTCAGTTACCTACCTCTGTCTTCGATCCAATGGGATTTCTCATCATTTTGAAAAGTAATGAAAAGGTTGCTGTTATTAGTGTTTGACGTTGGATGCTCCTTAGAGTTCCTCAAAATTTCTCACATCACGTATTGCATTCTGCCTGACGTTAGCCAGAGATAAAGGTACAAAGCGGAGGTACTGCTTCTGCAAAGGAAGTCCCATTGGTGTCAGCTTGGCTCAGTTGTTAGCACAATTCCCTCTGCGTCACAAGGTTTTGGATTCATAATTTAGGCTGACATTTAAGTACAATAGTGAAGGTATATTGCATCGTCAAAGATATTTGAAATCCTGTCCACCTGTTCTAAATCCAAGACACAATTTGAAACGACTCAGCATGTTTCTCCCGGCCAAACAGTCACGCAGATGAATTGGCCACTCATCGTATGGGTAATCTAGGCTGTTTCTGCACATTATAAACAGTTGAGGCAGAGCCCATATTAGCATTTCAAAAGGAATTCAATACATATCTGGAAAGGAAAAATATAAAAGTGTAAGGGGAAAATGTGGTGAGAATGGGATGGATCTTTTAGAGAGCGAACATAAAGCTGATGAGCCAAATTGCCTTCTCCTGTGCCGTAAATTTCTACGATTCTTAGGTTCCATCTTCACTTACAAAAAAGGTACTAAATGTAACAACTAGCTCTGGATCACTTTCAGATGTTTCAAGATTTAAGTTCTTACTTTCATGCATTACAACTGGTAAGCAGCTGGTTTCAGAGTGTTACAGGCAGAGGCTTTGGAACTGGTCACCAGACCACATTCCTTGTCAGGGAGTGGTGAAGAATACAATAAAATAATTATAATAACCCTTGCACTTGGTACAGTGCCTTATCACGTTGTTGTTGTAACTGTAAAGTGGATTGACTGTGTATTTTGTTGTATTAATATTCATGCATGTATAGTCAGTAAAAGCTTGAAACTCAACCAAAGTTAGTTCTTCTGTTTGCACTCAAGTTAGATGCTATGATGATGCTTATTTGTGCTTCTGCTGTTGCCAGCTCTTGAAATTTGTGGTACAGTCTTCAGCCGTTCTCTAAGGATGAAATAAATGTGATTATTTTGTTTCTCAAAATTGCAGTACAGGTTTCAGTCTTTCATAACAACATTATATACTTGATGCACATCAGAGGTTTTGATGCAAATTTTTTGCTGAAGATTTTTGGTACAGTTGGTACAAAATTCTTCACGGCTTTTTGTGGGACATTTCTGTGTGCAAATTAGCTGCTGTGTTTGCAAATATGTAGTGATTACACTTTACAAAATCCTGTGAAGATGTTTTGACAAAGTGGTAAAGCGCTATATCAACAACAACAACTTGGATTTATATAGCGTCCTCCACGCCGGATGGCGTCTCAGAGCGCTTTACAGTAACGGATCCCGGGACCGAGCCAGGGGGAGGGGTGGGAAGGTGACCAAAGGCGCGGTCGAAAAAGGTCTTCAGCAGAGACCTGAAAATGGGAAGGGAGGGAGCGAGACGAAGGGAGTGAGGAAGGCAGTTCCAGAGCCTCGGCTACATAGTGGCTGAAGGCCACATATCAAATGTAAAGCTTATTATGTTGTGACAGGATTGCACTGTAATTGGAAAGGTAACTGATTTATATTGTCTCCAAAGTATCCCTAGGAGCTGAGGCCAATTGTGCTGATCGGAGATATTCTAACTTAGCACAAATAGTGGAGAGGACCTCACTCCCAAATCATCAGCACTCTGTTCTCATTTCTTTCATTCTGTTTTTGCTTTGCTTTTCTCGTTGTCCTCTTTCCCTGCATTGCTTACCTTTTATTTTCTGCCACTTGATTTCCATTGTGAGTAACGCATACACGGCAGCAAAGTAGCCACCGACAGAATTAGTGATCTCACACGGGGACTAACTGGGATCAGCTCATCCATCTTGTTCAGTCCTGTAGCTCAGTGATTAGAGCACTCGCCTCACAAGCGAGATTCGATTCCCAGTAGGGCGAAACATTGGGCAAGTTTCCTTACTCCACACACCTCTGTTTACCTAAAAGTAAGTTTTCAAAATAAATAAAAATTATTTAGTCACTCAATCCATGACTCTTATGGGACACTGCTGTGTGCCATTGCCTGCTGTATTTTGCTTACAATCGCAAAACTGGAAATGATGCTCCAGTTATATTCTGTAAAGCGCTTTGAGACATCTCGAAGACGTGATAAGACGCTATATCAAATGCAAGGATTAATTTTATCATCGGCTCTTGATGTCTTTTGAATTGCGTCCTGAATTTTTGCTTGTTTTTTTACAGGAAATCTGTATCGTAAGCCACAGCGACCAGATACAGCAGTACAAATTGAGTGAAGAGGCACACAGAGCCCATCACGGTGTACAGACGGTGTGTTAACTTGTGTGATTTTCTCAGGATGCACCATTATCCATGGTCCTCAGATCCTCGATATTTTCATTCTCACTGGTGCCCCCTGGTGCTGAACAGATGTATTACAAGGAAGTGCAATTGTATTTCCAGTCTTTTGTGTGACATTTATCTCTGGGACGTGATGAAGGCAAAATTCAAAATCTAAGATTGTTTTGAGGTATTGAGTTTATTTTGAAAGATTGGGTGTGAATTTTTCAAAATTCCGCTTCAGTGAAATTGGGTACCAAATTGATAGTCTTACTCAACAAAAACCTTACACAAAATACTGCAGGCGCTGGAGATCCGAAAACAAAAACAGAAGTCGCTGGGAACACTCAGCAGGTCAGGCAGCATCTATGGAGAAAGGAAAGTGAGTCAACGTTTCGGGTCCACAACCCTTCGTCAGAACTGGGGCATGTTGGGAGGGAGAGGCTTTTGAGAGCTAACAACAAGGGGGGAGGCAGGGCAGGGAAGATAAAGGAGAAAATGGGGGTAGAGGACAGGGGATGATGAGTTAAAGAGGTGTTAATGATGCAAAACAAAGGGGGAGATTACAACAAAGCAGGGGAATAGAGGTGTTAATACTGCAGAACAAAAGGGGGGAGAAAAAGAACTTGCAACAAAACAGGTAGATCAGGGAGAGAAAAGGTGTGTCTGGGACCAAGATGATGAAATGATTCCTTTCTCTGTTCCCAGCGACTTCTGTTTTTGTGTAAGGCTGCTCTGGGAGTTTGTTATATTATACTATAGTTAGTTATGTTATACTGGTGTAGGAGAGGTACGCTCTTCTACGTTTAGGAGATGAGACACATGCTCCATCCGTACTCCATCTGCGATTGCTTGATACAGATTGTGGCTGAAAAGTGTTCATGAGCACAAACATTCACCCCAAACTAGCCAAATCAGTGCTTAAGTTCACGAACCAAAATGTGATTCTCTGAGTTTCTATTAACCTTGTGTTGTACACTGTAGATAGAAGAAACACTGTTTGATTTTACACTGCCAAAATTCATACATTTACAACTAACAAAGACTTGGTTAACTGAAATTGGTAAATTTACTCATCCAAGAATTCCAAATATCCGATTTACGGCAATTGTTCTGAAAACATTAAATGCAGTTTGTTGTGAGATTACCTTCATGAATGTTCTTTGTTTTTCAGAAGAGAGAACCGGATGATGAAGAAGAAAGAAGTAGTAAGTGGGTTAGCCAGGAACGGCAGAAAACACTGGATAGACTCCGGAGCTTTAAACAGGTGAGTGGAGGCTTCCTTCACAGGCCCAAAGCACCAGCACTGCCAGATAACTTGTTTTACTTTTAGGATTTAAGAATATTAACAGAAGTTTCAGAATATGACTTGCTCTGTAGCTCGGTAGACCTAAGTCTATCTCTTCTTCATTTCTGAGTTGTTAACACAGCGCAATCCCTTTACAGTATTGTCATCTGGGTCCAATGTCTCAGGCCACGTTATAAACAGGCACAATAAATTGTCCGACTTCCAGATTGTCAGGATTCTACTGATATCCCTTCTATGGTATCTATGTGCAAAAAGTGCCATTGATGTAATTTCCTCTGTGAGGAGATGTCAGCAGTGCTTCTAGTGGATTGTGTACATGTGCAGCACACAGGAAGTGATCTTTGCCTTGTTTCCTCCATATTATTATCATTGCACACTATAGTAGAAGTGATGTTAGCAGCAACCTGATGATCTGGAAGTGGATATTTTTTTTTCAATGATAGGATTTGGATGGCGTGATTTTGGTTTTCAGGTAAGAAAATCTCATGTCAGCAAGCCAATCATGTTGTAAGCGAGCTCTTGTTATGGCGAGGAGTGTTTATAACTGGATTACCCTGTGATAATCACATACGTAACTCACCAACATGAAGCACTGGTCTAGTTTGCAGTATTTATTCAGCTGAGTGCCCCATTTGGTAGAACTTTGAATTATAGCCAGGAAAAATTAGTAGAGCCACAACATTGGACTTGGTTATGAAGCCACTATAGGAAGATGCTAGGATTTGTATTCTGCAAGGTTGAGATAAATGGGCTGAACAGCCTTCTTCATCCATATTTCTCTTCTGATCTGTATGGGATAAGCAATCCTAGTTATATACTGTACAACATAAATATAGCAACTGATTGCCTCAAAAATCAACAGTGGTTTGGACTCTTTTTAAAAAAGTTTGATCCTATAATGGAAATACACCTATTTCAAAGGTTGAAGTTGGCAAAAGGTAGTTTGCATGTTCGGAGAGCAATTAATAAGGATTATGGGATGCTGGGTTTTAACAAGGCGGTACGAATTTAACAAGAATATAAAAGCAAAGAAGCAAAGTAAAGGTACTGTGTAGAGAGCATTTGTCAGACCACCTGTAGACTGTTGTGTTCAGAATTTGGAAGGATGGACTTGGACGGAGTCCAGAGTTGATTCGCAAGATTAATACCTGGGATGAAGAAGTTTGATTGAGTAAACAGTTGATCCAATTGAGGTGTTTAATGGTGAGAATTGATGAGCTAGATATGGAATGGCTCTTGTCTCCAGTCACAGCTTTGAGAACAAGGGGACATAACTTTCAATTGAAACAAAGCTGATTAAAAGTGAAATCAGGGATTTCTTCACACAGAGATGTGAGAATTGGAATACACAGTTGCGGAAAACTATAGAGACAGAATTGATTGGGATGTTTAAAAGAGAGATATTTGGGAAGTTAAGTTATTCATGGATGTCGAGAAAAGTCAAGAAAAAGGCATTAAAATACCCCCTTTATCTAATAAAATGTCAGAACACACTTAATAGACCGAATGGCCAAAGAGTCTTTGTCAAACAACCGTATCTTGTCACTAGTGAAGTGTCTGAAGTATCCTTCCGGTAAATGTGTCCTGAATGTCGATTCATACAGTGACTTTTTTCAGTGATAGGGCTTATCAGTTAAAGTAGTTCAGTGATTATTTTTTTGCATCCTTTCCCTTTCAGAGATACCCAGGGCAAGTTATACTTAAATCCACACGACAGCGTTTTGGCAGAAGAAAGGGCACTACAGGTTCAGTCACCTTTACCAGCAAGGAACAGCCACAGTCTCTTCCAGGAGCCTTCCAAGCACTCCACACAACTGAGGATATTTCGGCGATAAGGAAGCAATCAAAGTCCACTGAAACAACCCAGTGGAGAAGCACAGCTGCAGGACATGAGTGCGTTTCCCTCCAGGCAGGAGACGATGCCAGCCCTGAACTGTTGCAACCCGCTTCACTTCCAGTTACCTGCGGTGCCAGTGGAGAGTCCAGTATGATTGCTGTGACACCTCCACAGCCCCCACCCCCTGTCCCTCCTCCTCCACCACCACCACCACCCCCAGCCCCGCCTCTGCCACTCACTGAGGAATTGCCTGATGCCGAGCAGCAAACGGAGAAACCTCTCCAATCAGGTGACTGCAAACAAATGTCCCAGTCTGTCAGCTTGCCTGCACCTCACTTTGACAGCCGACAGCTGCTAAACGCCAGAAGAAAATTGAAGAAGACTGCAACCAGTGAGGAGCTGAAGAAACAAAGAGGTAAACCTTTTGTTTGGACTTGCTCGGAAATGTGTCTTTGCTCTTCAAAAGATTCTGTCTCTATATTTATTTCTTTAGTCGTGTCATGTTACTGGCAGCGTCAGCTACAGGGTGATGCCCCTGACCATGGAATATTGGAATCCAGTGCGATCCCTGGAGGTTCAATATCTGACCAGAGAGGTCAGCGGTGCTCCAGGGCGCTCTTCATGACAGACCAGCCAGCCTGGCTTGTTGGTGAACTGGGTTTCTTTTCACTCGGCTCTAGGTAACCTTGGAAGCCAAAGCTTTCATTGGGTAGTGTGGTCCTAGCTAGACAACCAGTGGAAAGTTCACTAACATCCATTAATGGTAGGCTGCTTAGTTTTAGTTTTAGCTGCTTGAATTCCAGCAGTACCCCAAGCGCATTTCAGGTTCCCCAAGTCATGATTCTTGCTGACCTGCAATTAAATTCTTTAGGATTATGTTAGTAGGATCTGTGCTCCTCCATATCCCCTTCTCTGCTCCATATTCTTTTTTCACATCTCCCTCTTGGCTTCTCGCCACATCCTCTTCTCTTGTGATGCAGTAAGATTCTGTTTTGATGGGTGGCTCTTAGTACGAAATCTGACTGAATGCAAAATAATCCACTCATGTATATGTATATATTTATATGAAAAATAATTTCACATTATAATATCCAATCAAAAAAAGAAATGTCACATAACATCTTTAAACAATAAAAATCATTAAGAATGTTTAAATATATGCCTTAAAGAGAGCATGATTGATGCTGTATCTTTGAACCTAACGTTTTGGATAATGCAACACATGGTTTATTTAAGGTTGATTTCATTTTCTTTGTGTTTGTATTAATCCTGCATAAATTACTTTGGAAAATGTGCTCACAACAGGTTGTCACTGGATACCTGACTAAATACAGTGACCCACTTCTCAGCTGGTTTTAGCAAGTCAATCAATAAGATAATTAAAAAACCCAGAAAACACTTTTCTTGATGTATAGCATTTTCTTGTGCAGCAAGGTCACTTTGACAGAAGTCAGACTGAAGTTCTTCTGACAGGGATAATAATAATAATAATAATAATAATAATAATCCTTGCATTTGATATAGTGCCTTATTACGTCTTCGAGGCGTCTCAAAGTGCTTCACAGAATATACTGTAAAGTGAATTGACTGTAAATTTTGTGGGTGATATACATCTTTGCACAATCTGTAAATGTAGATGCACTGTACACTCACATAAAATCAAATTTTAAATCCCATATATAGCATAGAAAAACTCCAGCTCTTTAATGTGCTCTCAGATGTCAATCACATGATGGTTATTGTAGGTGAACTAAAGTCTAGCCTGAGATAAATTATAAGGTAAGGGCACATTCCAGAGGTTCAGGCAATGTTCTATAAATGGAACAAAGATTTTCAGCAATGTTACCAAGTTATTTAAGCTCTCAGTTTTAACTTCCTCCTTCCTTCCTGACTGTCAGTTAATTATGTTAATAATGATCTGGGCACAGTAGTATGTAATTGGAATAGTTCTGTGAATCTCCTTTTGCATGTAACTCGCAGAGAGCATTAACTGGCAATGACATTGACGAAATCACAAAAACTCCAGCAACACACTGACACATGCACTGTGCACTGTTCGTTTTCTGTATAAAAATAAATTCACATCCTGAGGGAGGGAAGAGAGTGACACAACGATTTTTCAAATTTTGCGTGACAGAGAAGTATGGCCGGACCGTGCAATATGAGATGCACAGAGAACAATAATAATATCCACTTGCTGTCTTGTATCTACCTCCTATAGACTCATTCTAAGACATTTTTTTTAAAAAAGCAAAACTCCGAAGATACTTTTCACTATTTTTTCCAAAAAAAATCATTAATTACCAAAATGGGATTGTAAAATTTGGTTACACAAACCAATCTAAATTGCCTTTAATGAAATTAAAGAAGCAAACAGTGAAAGCAGGTGACAGCTCATGGATTATGTAAAGTACAGAGTGTGTACTTCCCACACTTGAAAGCCATAAGATGTGCATCAGTCTAAACTCATCAATAGGTAACAATTCCCAGACTCTGGAACCTGACCAAGTTAGAATCATGTAATCATATAATCATTGCATTTTGATATAGCGCCTTATACAGCACAGAACTAGACCATTTGGCCCATCATGTCTGTGCTGAATCTTTGAAAGGAGCTATCCACATCAATCCCACTCCCTCGCTCTCTACCCATAGCCCTGCAAACTTTTCCTCCTCAAATAATTATCTACGTCTCTCTTAAAAGTTGTTATTGAATTGGCTTCCACCACCCTTTCAGGAAATGCGTTCCAAATCCAAACAACTCGCTGCATGAAAAAATTTCTCCTCACCTCCCCTCTTTGCTTTAATAACTATTGTAAATTGGTGTCCTCGGATTACCAACCCACCCACCAGTGGAAATGGTTTCTCCTTGTTCACCCTATCAAATCCCTTCATAATTTTGAAAACTTTTATTAAGTCTCCTCTTAATCTTCTGTGGTCCAAGGAGAATAATCCTAGCTTCTCTAGCCTCTCCTGATAACTAAAGTCCCTCATTCCTGGTACCATCCTGGTAAATCTCCTTTGCACCCTCTCCAATGCCTTGACATCCTTCCAAAAATGTGGTGCCCAGAACTGAACACAGTACTCTAGCTGAGGCCTGACCAGTGTTTTATATAAGTTCATCATAACTTCCTGACTTTTGTATTCTATGCCCCTATTTCTAAAGCCTATATCCCGTATGCTTTTTTAACAGCTTTATATACCAGTCCTGCGACCTTCAAAGATTTACTGATATGAACCCCCAGGTCTCTCTGTTCCTTCATCCCCTTTAAGATTGTACCATTTATCTTTTATTGCCTCTCCTCGTTCTTCCTCCCAAAACGCATCACTTCTCATTTCTCCACATTAAACTTCATCTGCCAGTGTCTGCCCATTTTACCAGTCTGTCAATGTCCTCTTGCAGTCTGCTGCTATCCTGCTCACTGTTGACCAAGTTCCACGGTCTAAACTTGTCATTTTATTTTTAACTAAAGGTGCACCAACATTTCTGATCAAAAGATAGTTGGAACAATTCAGTCACAAATTGAAAAATTGCCACTCTACAGTTAATTACGTGGAAGAATTTGCATACATAGAAATCTGGAAATTTGGCTCTGGAACTCCATCCCCCAGTGCCTTCGCCTTGCTTCCTCCCTTTCCTCCTTCAAGGCTGGTCTCAAGGCCTTTCTCTTCAGCCGTGCCTTCAGCTCCCCTCACTACTCTACCCCCTCCTCGCTCCCTTCCCTCCCCTCACCCTGACCATTTCCCCCCCTGCTCGGGACCTGACCCACTTGTCCAGCGCCTTGGGACGTCCTTCCGACATGAAAGGCGCTCTATAAATGCAATCTTGTTGTTGTTGTTGTCAAGTGGAGTGGGCTACTGCAGTCAAACGCATGACACAAGACAAAGGAATAATTTGGTAAATAATTCCAGAACAAATCCTGAAAGTTGGAGGTTTTAGTTATATATTAAAGAGCGATGTACTCGAGAACTCCACGGGAGCTGAAAATGCAGAGCATTTGTTATGTTCCCCTGGACTCCATAGAACTGAAGAAAACCATAGAAATTTGCAGCACAGAAAGCTATTTGGCTCATTGTGTCTCTGCTGGCTCTTTTATAACTAATCCCTTCAGTCCTATTTACCTGCCCTTTCCCCATACTCCTGTAGTTTACTCATTTTTAGGTATTTATCTAGTTCCCTTTGAAAGCTAATATGGATCCTGCCTTAACCACTGCTTCCGGCAGAGAATTATTTAGCATAAATACTTTATGCTCGAAAATATTTACCCTCATCTCCCCATTTGCTCTTTTGTTAACTATTGTAACTATTATCTAACTAACTATTGTAAGAGATGCCTGTACCTGAACCAGGGGTGAGCAAGATGGGCTGAATGGCCTCTTCTCATTTTTGCTGTCTCATGAACCATTTCTTATTGTAGAATGACTTAGAGGAGGCTGAGGGAGAAGAGCTGTTTTTTAAGAGTATTGTTAAGTGNTTTTTCTGTGCTTGTTGCCTGAACTTTGATCCCTCTGTTCCAGCGAGCTCACCAATGGATGAAGTTTTGGCCTCTCTGAAGCGGGGCAGTTTCCACCTGCGAAAGGTTGAGCAGCGCTCTCTGCCCCCGTGTCCCGATGAAGATGAAAGCAATAATATCCTCGCACAAATCAGGAAAGGGGTGAAGTTGAAGAAAGTTCAGAAGGACGTGCTGAGGGAGTCGTCCATAGATTTGTCCGACGTTGATCCCCTAACGCGCAGTATCCACGAGGCTTTAAGGAGAATTAAAGAAGCCTCGCCAGAATCAGAAGATGAGGATGAGGGCTTGCCCTGCAGTGAGTGGGACAACTAGTCACCACAAGCCAAGGCTTCATGGCATAGACATAATCTTGCCCTTCCCCTACACTGTGCTGTTAACTGTTAATGCTCCTGTAGAGGTGGTTTCTGAGTGATAGAGGAGATTGTCCCACGAAGCTGTGCCTAAATTGAAGTTATTTAATCGCAAAACTAACGGATGTGCGTACTATGATGTTTAAAATTTCCACCAGCCTTCTCTCCCAAGTTAATGAAAAAAATCTTTGTTGCACTGTACTGAGCAGTTTTCCTGTCAGAATTTACTTTGTGATCTTTGTTGTATTGTAGCCATAAGCACATTTAGCTCTGGCTCAGACATGATCAGCTCACGTTCCTCCTCGGCAATGATAAATAATCCATTAACTAAGCATGGTCTAGAAAATGCCAGTGTCATCAAAACTGAGCTCAAGTTTTCTTTCTGTGCACCAGTAGATGCTATAGACTAGCCTGAAAAAAATGAAGTTTAATTGTCATTTGATGCTCGTTGATTTCATTCTGCCAAAGTAGGTTGTTTTCATTGAAGTGCAAAAGGGAGATTTCAGTGCATCCAGAAGAGTGTCAAAGAAAATGTCCAGATGCCTTAATAAATGGACATAGTGCACCCAGGCAGATTAGTTGTAGTTTCTCCTTATGCAAATTTTTTGGACGCTTCTTCTATTGCACTGTAAAATTGGATTGCTTTTGCATTCATTAATTTTGACCCAGTACCCCAAATCAGCTTTTGCAAACATCTGTTGGTAGAAATAGCTTTAATATAATTTAATTGCATTTTTGATGCATTGCATTTTTAATAGTTCATAAAATTGATGAATAAATTAGTAACTGTGTAGCACGGCATTTGTCCAGCTCGGTGCTTTTCCTGCTAGGATCTCACTGTGTTGAGCTTTTCACTTACACGGTTGAGTACATGTCTACATATCCACATCCCGTTGATGAACCGGTTAGGATAAATAGTTATCAGCCATCAGTGACACCTTAGTTTGCTGTGGGCTTGCCTGCTTTGCCAATTTAGCCTGTAGTGATCCTGCTCGTCCATCTCCCCCAGAAACCTATTGGCCCAAGGCAGTTGCTCAACCAAATGAAATACCAGAGACTATGGGCTAATGGGGAATTGTGGGCTTACATTTTGCTGCAAAAGTGCATAGCTGGACAGTAATTGAGAATATGTAGACGTATAAATTCTTAGGATTAAGACCTGTTTGCCTGAAAAGTCAAATCAGTTGATCCAATTTAGATTTAGCTTGACATCCTTACAATTAGTTTGTAATCTGTACGCAAACCAATCACTTGCCTTATATTTGTTTAACAAGATATATTTAAAACGTTTTGGATAAAATCCTATCCACTGGCAATAAAATTCAGACATCTGATGGAAGAGTTTGCATTTTACGTTTACCATCAGATGGTCAGATTCAAAAATCCCAATTATCTGTCTGGGTAGTTTGTCTAGAGGTTTTTGGTTCCTACTTTTAGTCTACATTAGAAAAGATTTGTATTTGTAAATATTTTAGCTTTGCAGCTCACATGTGTGCTGGTGAGTAATGAAATGAGCTTTTCTGATTTATAAATTTAATAATCTTAAACATCCTCTCAAAGCACTGTGTCCTTGATCCTCTGTATCCTTGGGCTATAAACCCATGGGTTTTAAAGTTTGGGGCATTTCATAACAATGCTTATGTTGTCTGTAAATCTGGAGCCAGAGGGAGTGAGATGTGGGACAATTAGAGCGATGAGAACATGAATTAGGGCAGGTAATAACATCTCCACCTAACATGAGCATGAGAGCTGTATTACATCAACATGTGCCAGCAGTGTTGAGTGAAGCTTCCTCATAGCCTGAATTCAAATGGCACAACATGAAATAGTTTTTTTTTAGAAAAGTATATCTGTGTACAAGAATAAAATACGCTCCTGCTGCTGGGTTGGTGCACAAGACCTTTTGTGATCACTTCCACAAGCTGCATTTCATAAATGTACCTTTCATATCAGTCCCTTAGTAAAGGACACGTATATCTGATTTGAGAGCACTGGAGTGCTTGCATGGCACATTTTGAATGAATTATTAGAGTCTGTATGAATTGCTAATCATAAAATCTAGACTTGAATTAACTGATCTGACAGATCTGTATTTATTTATTTAAGTGCACATCATAGACAATTCCTGTTGAGGAAGAAAAACAGATCAGTGTTGCATTGCTGGAATATTTTTCAATCAAATTTAACTATCTTTTCTGTTGGATCAAGAAAATCTGGGATCTTATGAAAGCGTTACATAGCTGTAGAAAATAATTTACCTGTTTTGATCAGCAGTGAAGACTGGAATTACCATCTCTCCTACAAACAAACTGCTTCACAGCTGCCAGACTGACCTAATACATAATCCATGTGGTTTTCGCAAAACATGCGATGCCAGGATTATCCATGGTTAGCACCAAGACTTGCAACGTTTCATTTTTATTCAACCAAGTAGTATCTTCAGAAATAACTAATGAAGGGGTAAGGAAGAGAGTAAGTGGAACCTTAGCAGAAGGTTGCTGAACAAAGTTGCTATGATTTCTGATTCCTGTATATCATGGTAGCAATAGCCACTTGTATCTTTTAGTGCACTGATCAATTGCATCCTGACCTGAAAATAAATGTTACCATAACATGTAGATATGACTGCTTTGGCTCATGGTTTCAGCCACATGGTTATAGCTACATGCGTTATTATTATTATTTAAAATCTGTTTTTGAATTATTGCATCTGGGAATTGTTCTGTATATTTGACATATATTTGTGTGAGCGTGGAGCAATTCACTATTTAGGTGCACAAATCAGTCTTATAAGAGTACCTTTTTTTTAAACTTAGCATTCTATATATATATATATAAACAACATTAAATAGGCATTGCTTGTATTCAGGGATATTAGTCCTTATTAATGATGAGGCCAGTCTAAAACTTTGTTTTTTATAAATGCTTTCAAATATTAAACATACTGTAAACAAATGATTATCTTCAGTAACACAGTGATTTTTAAGCTTGGTGGAAATCGTTTTCGTTCTGACTTTTGTTAGATATTATTCACTATTTTAATTTTTTCCCCGATTTTATTGGGGTGAGGGGGTCACCACAAAAATGTCTGACTTCCAGGTGGTTGTGCTGCCACTTGTGTCACTTCCTGCACATGCACACTCTGCTCCTAATCATCTCCCTGAAGCACTTTGAGACGTCCTCCCAACATTCTAGGCGCTATATGAACATGAATTATCAATGTTGTCGTTAGGAATAACCTGACGAACTGGATGTTGACCATTTTCATCACAAAAATTGATTTTTATCCATGAAAATGTATTTTGCATCAGATTGCAGAATGTCGCAAACAGCAAAGAATATCAATGTTTTTACCGATCAAATCCAGGCAGGTTTATATAATGGATATAGTATAAACTGTATTACATATAGAAAGCATGATCAGTGCAGGAGTGGGTGACATGTTTTATAAAAATAACCTTTTTTTAATTTTGCCATTTGAGAAATCTGGGACTACGTAGCATTGTTCAGAGATTGATGAGAAATGCAATGATTTGTAGGAATAAATCGTCAATAATTGACAGTAGACAAATTTGATCTTTTATCTATAACCTGAAAGCATTTTAAGAAAAATGTCTGGTTGATCAGAGTATCTAGGTGATTATTAATTGGCATCCCCATTGACAAAAACAAACACCACAGTTATCAATGTACTGCATTAATGCAGTAAACTTCCACTTTTGTAATATCTTTTGGTCTGAAGGTTATGGGTCAAGCTGAGTTCTGACTCTTGAGCTCATAGAAGAGGTTGACACTCCATTGCTGTGCTGTGGGAAGTGAGGACTTCTAGATAATACGTTAAACCAAGGTCCATGGCACGATTGGAAAAGATAAGGGAGTTTCCTCTGGTGTCCTGGGCAACAATCCCCCAGATTCTTTGGTTATTTGACTCATGGTTGTTTAGGGGACCTCATTTTGTTTGCCTTCAAAAAACACAGTTGACAGTAATTGCTTGTGCTAAAAATGCAACTTTTTTTCTTGTTAAATGTTATGATAAATTCTGTTTCATTGTGGGAATTAAAAGAGTTTGTCAGAAATACATCCCAGCATGCGGCTAAATACAATAAGTGCAGTTCAGGTTGATGTATACAAGAGTCGGAGCAAATTAAATTCCAGAATTTAAGATTGAATTTTGAGTGACTTAGATTAAACACTTATGCACAAGCAGCACTGAGCATGTCATTTTTACATCACTGTTCTCTTGGTTGCTGTTACAGTTGCTTATGCATTCGTAACAGTACTGACCTGTGCTTAATTTGTTCCATATTTCCATTCAGAATCCATTCAGTTGCCCTTATTAAAATAAAGTAAATCTTCTTACAACCTTCAATTTTAAACTGCCCACCACAGACTTGCTCATTTCTGCAATCATTTACAGTTCAACAATCTTTGAAAGTACTGAACTGGATTGCGGTGCAGTTGAGTTTAGTTCCTGTTAATGTTTTGGTGGCACAGATCACAAAGAACAGACCTGTGTTTTCTTACACAAAATATACATTTCACCCATAAAATATGCAGTTTACAGTATATTCTGTGAAACACTTTGAGAAGGCTCAAAGACATGATAAGGCGCAATATCAAATGCAAGGATTATTATTACTACACAAAAGTTAACTCAATCCACTTACACTTTTGGTTGTGTCACTTTTATAAACTGATCGGGGATTATATTGAAGGGTTGAGCTATAGTTTTCTCATAATTATTGCAATTAAATTCACCTTTCCTTCTCGATTTCACATCTGCCCAATATGAAAGTTGTATAAAGATTTGCACCAGTTCTGCAAGTTTGGAGCTTTTAACTGGTGGATCTAGTTCCCATAAAGAGGCTAAACAGTGATAATGATGAAACAGGAAATCATCTTTTTAGGCAAACTCAGCACATTTTTGCATCTTTATTTTTTGCATCTTTTTCAATACATTTTTCAAAGCTAGGAATACCTGTTGAAAATTTAGGATATATTATACAAACCTTTTAAAATTAAAACCTGCTCATTGATAAGATTTGGGAACAATAAACATGTGAGCTCTGGAAAATGGTAGCACTATAAATAAAACAAACAAGTTATCTCCAAAAGGAATTGTCCCCAATACATAAACCTCAATGATACCAGTGTAATGCATTCAGTAAATTATTATATCAAATGGATAGAATTTAGAGTTTAAAAATTGATGTAAAAATCAAACATAACTTCAATCAATGCAATGTATTGCTGTATTAACGATTAGCATGGTTAAACAACAACAACTTACAGTGCACTTCACATGGATAGATTCATGGAGCGCTTTATAAAAGATTAAAGGGATTGAAATGGAATAAGGCTCTCAATGTATTGAATAAACTGCATGATAATCCGTATATTCAAAAGTAGTTTTATTTTCACTTCGCAAAATCTAACCTTTTTAGGGAAGGGATAGAAGAAAAGAGGTAATGGCGGGGAAATGAGGAGACTGGGAAAATAACATGAATTTTATTGCGTATATACCACAGAATGCTCATTAGTAATTGACTTATTTTTTAATCCTATTGTTTGACAAATAATTGAAAAGCATCAGTGAAATTGTGATAGAGGATGATTGATGCAAGTCTGAGAATCTGATTTATGTTGCACAAATAGGCTATGGTAGAAGCTTGAGAGAAATGAAGCATCAATGAGCTAGAACCTGAACTTCAAGCGGGATGTAATTCTTATTCCATTGGTTCTACTTCTGCTGATATCATCAATCCACAATATTTGTTTTGTGCTTTAGAATCAAGTGCAAGTGCAAATCATTGCGTTTAAGAACGTTTGTTTTAGATATTCTCTCTAAATTTCAAATAATAAATAAATGCCATTTAGTATAATGCAAGGACTTTTTTTCATGACTTCTGCAAAATATTTAATGAAAGTAACATCCCAGCTAGTAGATACACTGAAAGCTGGCAATTCAGAAGCTTCACTCACTGGGTAATAGAGACGGCTCATTTTTAATTATTGCTTTGAGATGCCAAAATGTGGATATTTCATAGAAAACATGAAATAGGATAGTCCCAAATTATATCATTTATAAAACATTTTTGCAAATGACAAACATTCTGAGTCCTAAAAAAAAGAAAACTGATTGAATATCGTCCATTTATTGGCTAATGCATCACTAAGATTTTGAGGCATGGGTAGTATTTCTGCACAAAATCAATCCTGTTTAACCAGGTTGACTGTGTTTATTCATGGAATGCTGTACATTGATGGTCTTTTCTAGTTACTCTGCTCTAACTTTATGTTCTAGGTTATACAGCACAATTTACAAATGTTTTTAGCACCTGTGTTTTGCTGAAGTGCACAAAGGACTAATTTTCTTTTGACTTGTCATAATTTGACACACAAACCCATTCTCTAGCAGAATATTCTGCGATTGTCATGCTGTATCCAAAGATGGTTTGTCCACTTGGGAAATATTCCTTCTTTGACATTTTAATTACAAATGTATTACCCAGATGTTTTCATCCCACTTGTGTTATTTATGCCATACTGTTGGATTTTT